ATAGAAGACGAGTGAAAGGAAAAAAGTTGTATTCAACAATATTTGTACGTATGTATACCTTAGCCGAAATAATCAACGAGTTTACGTTTTGGCCTTTTCGATTTAGTTGAAATATTTGAATGCTCTTTCCAAAATTTGTGTTTATAAACCAAAACGTGCAGCTAGTCGTTGAATTTTGGGCTTTATCTAACACAGGAAAGAGTATAAACATCTTCGGTGCGCCGATGCTTAGCTTTCTTTACTTGTTATATATACACATTATGATAATATATACAAAATTTTTATGCATTAGCTTTTAGTAGTATTTTTTACTCGTTTCCAACAAACCCACAAAAGTCAATGGTAATTCCATATTGCGGTTTTAGTAGCCAATGACTGCTGCTTAGGCGTCATAGTTCAATTAAATAATGAATACAAATCAACAAAACTTATAAAATTAAAAGGACAACAAAAACAGCTCCTATTCTAGTGCAACCCTGTGATTCTAACGGTAATGTGAGGCGTAAATCTTTGCATTTTGACAATACTTTCTTTTTAAGTATTTTTTGATCGATATCGGTACATTTGGAGTATTTTTCAATAGCTACTTCGTTCGTCACCATATTTGCAATCACAGGGCGGGCACAATTTTAACTATTTAGCAAAGAATATGAAAAAAAAAAAATAAAACAAAAGTTACATTCAGCAAATAAGTACGTAAATGCATTTTTGCATAATGTAGAGCTTAAATGAATTATTCATTTTGATTAGATCGCTTAACGACGACGATGACGAGCGTAGCGTCTTATTTAGGCAAAGGCAACGAACGATAAGTATTTTTTGGATACACTGAGAAAAAAATATATATAGAAAAGTATTCTGAGCCGGTTGGCAGTTAACGCAGACATACCCGAACATACATAATCGCAAGCGCATTTAACTAAATAACGAAGATAAGAATATAACTAAAAAAAAAAAAAAAATAAATAAATCCAACGAAACGAAATGAAACTTAAGTCTTTAAACAGTAGCATAAATTTTTTATACGCAATTTTTATTGCAATTGTAAAAAAAAACTAAATAAGAAAACTGTTTGTCATCCAAGAAATTTTGATAAAATCCTTAATCCGTTTTATCCGTAACCTATGAAAAGAAAATACGCAAAGATCTATATATAATATACATACAAATAATTGGCGCTATTTCAATATAAATGTAGTTAAAATACATATTATGCATAATTACATACGCCAACTGATATACATAAAATTATAATTAAATAAGTACATGCAAATACTTACTGTGGAACTATACAAAAATCATATTGTGTGTGTTCTTCAAGACGTTCTATTCTTATTCTTTTTGTGTTTAGTCCGCTTTTACATAGAAAATTCCATGTAACGTTTTTTTTCTTAAATTATATTTTACTGCATTTCTCTTTGTCTGCAATTGCTTAACTAAGTCGTAATCGTATATTACGTATATTTAATTATACTTATATAATATATACATATATGCATTAATTTTGCAATCTATTATACATTTTAATTTTAACTATGCTGAGCTGATAGTATGAGAAAATGATTATACATATATTTAGTTTTAATTCACACACCCACTACGATAATTCACCGTCGCTTGAGCGTACGGTTATTTACAATTTTATACGCACAACTTGTATGTATTATTTTAGTTTGCACTGTAATTTTTATTTTGTGTTGTTAAATATATCGTTATTTACTTATTCGACCAAGCCACTTTTACCTATTAATTCAATTCCCTCTAGCCAAGACGAATGAACTGGATTTTGATTCAAAAATTCTACCACCTTTAAATTCGCACAAATTCTTTAAATATCTGGAAATCCAAAATTTTCCTGGCAATATTTATAAATCAAATAGGAAAATTGGTAACAGTGAATTAATGTAATGGATTATGTCGAATCTAAATTTCCCACAAATAATTGCACTAAAAGTTTGCTTTTTCAAATCATGCATTGCCAAGCACCATATTTATTTAAACAAAAACTGCTTTTTATTGTGGTCATTTTTAATTATAGCCAAATATCCTCTCGATATTTTCCTTGTGCACGAAAATCCTTGAGCTGCTGTGTGGCTTCGGCTTCGTTTAGGTTTAGAACCTGTTGCAGACAACAACGCAAACTTTCATTAATGGACTTGGAAATCTGGGCACCATCCGCACAGACGTATAAAACAGTTGTGGGCTGCTGCAGCAGCTCTACCAGCTGCTCCGCATCCTGCTCCAATAATTGCTGCACATATTTCGGCTGGTCATTCATCGAACTCCGGGAATAGCAAAGACGTAGACGCTGTATGATTGAGGATTTTTGCCAGCTGAGCAGCTGCTCATGCTTGAGCATGGCTTGTGGTGTCTTGGCGCCCGCATAGAGCCAGGTTTGGCCTGTGGCCAATTGCCTACATAGTTGCTTGTGTGCAAGAAAGCCTAGGAAAGGTGCCAAACCCGTGCCCACAGCTATTAGAATTTGATTGCCCTCTAGTTCCTCATCTGTGTAACGGAATGTATTCTGCACGCGGGGATAAATATATAGTTGCACTGGCTTCTTCTGCTCCTGATGCTGCTCAACCATAGTCTCCAGCATACTAGTCGTGACGCCCGGTTTATCTGCGCGTATAGAGTATATGATGCGCAGCTGATCCGAGCCCTCCAATGGGCTGTTGGCTATTGAATATGGGCGGGGTAGAAGACGCGGTAAGTGCTCTACTAGCAGGGCTAACGTTGGCTGACAGCTGGAGCACAGTTCAAGCAGATCCAGCAAGCATAACCCACGTTCCAATATGAGCGTCTGATAGTGGGCGGAGCCTTGTTTGGAGGAGAGACTCGCCAGGAATGAGCGCTCTTTTAAGTCACTGGTGCAACTGGCTAAAGCGCTTAGGAACTGCTTCTGTAGTACTGAGCGTAGCGAGACACAATACGTTAGAATCTCGCGCGGAGTTGTCAGCGCGGGAATGTGAGCGGGAACTTTGGCGCTCTTCTTGGCGCAGTTTAAGGCCAAGCTTGCATAACAGTTGCTGTCCGCCTGTTGACTCAAGTTTAGGCGTTGCAAAATAAGAGCCACAGTCTGTGGCGGATTGCTGGAAAGAATGCCTACTGTATCCCCGGGATCATAGTCCAGCGCACCCAGCGACCCTGTGTCCAGCGTTATCTCTACAACCCGTTTCGTTGCAGTAGAAACATCGGCGGCCACAAGCTCTTTGGCATCTGCTATGAGCACAGCCACTGGCGCACTATCAGCACGTGCGAAGGGAAACTTCAAGGCACTTCCACAATTCAGTTGACCACATGGATCAGGCTGTGGCGTAATTGAGGTCTGTAATATAAATTGTTCAACAGAACGCTTTCTGAAATAGTGAAAAAGTATACACGAACCTGTTCTGTATTGCTAAAGACAATTTCGAGATTACTTTCCAATGGCTTAGCAGGCACATATTCAGTCAGCGTATATGCGTCAATTTGCACAGTAACTGGCGAATCCAAGTGGTCAACGCCGACCATTCTAATTTGTAAAGCTGGTCGATCAAGTGTGACCGTGCTCGGTTTGAACAAAAATTGCAAAAATAACTTAATAGAGAGAATGAGAGTTTACATCCAATTTGATATAATCAAAGACCATTTGATTGTAAGTGTATGTGGAACATATTGACTAACGGTCACTTCATTTTATTCAACATAAAAAACTTTAAATAGCTAGATATATTTGGCAAATTAGCAATAAGTATCGCTTAAGTGGATGACCATCTCTAGTTGAGTGCTGCTTTGTTGTTAGAGAACAAATAATGCATATTGAAACCGTATGCCAGTGTGTCCACACTAAGTGCGTGTTAAAATAAAAATTCAGAAAACGCACAATAATACAAATCATTGCAGCCGAAATTTCTAGTACAAATAGAAATTAAAACCTAGCTAACATTATGGCAGGGAAAGATGCTAACGATGAAGAATTCCAAGATGCACTTGGCGAGCCCGCGCCGTCCCCACAAAAAGCGACAACCAATAAGCCAGATCATGAGAAATTGATAGATGACATTATAGAAAAGAACAGTAAACTAAGTCTTACGGATGATGAAGGAGGGGCCGCGGGTTCCGAAGGTGCGAGCAATAAGGACAATGATGAGGACGACAGTGGTGACAAAGCTGATGTGATACAGCCCGATGGAGAACTTAGCTTAGAAGAGCTGCAACTACAGGAGAAAGAGTTGAGTGTCGAACAGCTGGCTGCTAACAAAGAGAAGGCAGACAAGCTGAAGCTCGAAGGCAACGAACTCTTTAAAAACGATGAGCCCGAACGTGCCATTGTTGTATACACAGAAGCACTAAACATTTGCCCCTCCGTGAATAGTAAGGAGCGTGCTGTGCTGTTTTGTAATCGCGCCGCGGCCAAGATGAAGCTGGAGGCCAATAGAGCGGCTATTAGCGATTGCACACAGGCCATAGAACTAAATCCAGTATATGTGCGTGCGTTGTTACGGTATGTGTAAAAAATAACCAGACGAAATGCAACTCTAATTTGTATTTCTTAAATAGGCGAGCCAAGCTATACGAACAGGATGAAAGACTAGATGAAGCATTGACAGATTACAAGCGTGTCTATGAAATTGATCCTGGCCAGCCTGAAGCACGAGAGGCTCAAATACGTCTGCCAGCTTTGATAAATGAGCGCAATGAAAAACTAAAAACCGAAATGCTGTCCAGTTTAAAAGGTTTGGGTGATATGATATTGAAGCCCTTCGGCTTGTCTACCGCGAATTTTCAAATGCAACAAGATCCTAATTCTGGTTCATATTCCATTAATTTTAATCAAAATAACAGTTAGTACGCAATGCTGTGTCAAGTTTGTTAAAAGAATAAAGTTGGATAAATCATAAGAAAGGCGTGTGTGAGAATTTTATTGGTGTTCAGCTGGTTGCCAGTGTGTACAAATATGTGACGGCATACAACAGTGTGACCACTCACTCTTCCGAGCGACAGCTGACTTTGACACCTGCTGTCGTCGTACTGAAAACGAAAGAAGAAGAATAGTTGATTGAAAGTTGAAATTTTATGTTTAAAAAAAAAAAACAAAATTTTACAAAATTAGCTTCGTTTAATTGACGTGACATTTTCAAAACCCTTCACAGCATAGTGGGCTGATCGCGAGTACCAGTGCTGCACAGTTATCAGCTCTCCCGTGTGCCAATGAGGCTTTTGGAAAGTCCTATTGTGTTATGACTTTGTAAATAATCATTGTGGACTAATGCTATTCTATTATTAGTATTCAGTGTACCCAGTTGATGTTGTAGTTAAGGCATAGTATTTATTAATACTCGCATAATGTTTCGCAGTCGTAGCTGGTTTGGCGGCCCGTGGGGTGGACGCCCCAAAAATCGGTTATCATTGGAGCACCTTAAGTACCTGTACAGCATTTTGGAAAAGAACACAACCGTATCGGAGAGCAACCGCGGCTTGCTGGTTGAATCATTGCGCTGTATAGCCGAGATACTTATATGGGGTGATCAGCATGACTCCCTGGTCTTTGAGTAAGCATAGCGGTCTATAATTTAAATATGTACATATATTATGAAATTGACTAATTGTATTTTCGCAGTTTCTTTTTAGAGAAAAATATGCTCTCGTACTTCCTGCACATTATGCGTCAAAAGAGCGGCGGCTCTAGTTACGTTTGCGTCCAATTACTTCAGACACTTAATATTCTCTTTGAGAACATCAGAAATGAGACGTCGCTGTGTATGTAAATATTTGTTTACTAGAATAACAATGTAGATCCTCTATATAATTGTTTTCTTTCTGAGATATGCCTGTATATTACGTATGCTTTAAAGCATTGGCAATATTGGTTAGAATATTGGGAATTATTAACTAATTTTCCTGTCGTTACTTATATTTGACTTTTCAGATTATCTACTAAGTAATAACCATGTCAATTCTATAATGGTGCACAAATTTGATTTCTCCGATGAGGATGTAATGGCCTATTACATACTCTTTCTGAAAACGTTAAGCTTAAAGCTCACCCCACACACCATACACTTCTTCTACAACGAGGTGGGCTCTCTTAACACATATTATTAAATCAATTTAATGTTTATGGTTTTTATCAGCACACAAATGACTTTCCACTCTACACGGAAGCTATTAAATTCTTCAATCATCCCGAGTCGATGGTACGCATTGCTGTGCGCACAATTTCTTTAAATGTATATAAGGTGCAAAATGCAAGCATGCTGCGGTTTATCAGAGACAAGTGAGTGGAAAAACGTAGACGAAAGATGGTCCATTAATAACTCTATGTTTAAATTTATTAGAACGGCTGCGCCCTATTTTAGCAATATAGTTTGGTTTATCGGCAAGCACATATTGGAGCTGGACACCTGCGTGCGGACAGACATAGAGTAAGAAAATTAATTTATTCATGTTATATTTCTACTTATACTGAATGCTTATTACTGTTCAGTCACCAATCGAATCAGAAGCTTTCCAATTTGGTTGCCGAGCATCTCAATCATTTGCACTATTTAAACGACATCCTGCTATTGGATATCAAAGATTTGAATGCAGTGCTCACCGAACACTTGCTGCACAAGTTGTTTGTGCCTTTGTATATATTCTCGCTGACGCCAGCGCCGCCGCCACCCTCATTAGCTGTGGTCACCCAAAATTTGGCAGCTGTACTAAATCGCAATGTGGATATTGACATACAGGAGATTCATCATCCGCGCGTTAGCTCTATTGTGGCACTCTATTTGCTGTCGCTGGTCTTTTTGGTTGTCACCCATGAGCCGCTAGTGCATGCCTTGGCTTGGGTCATATTAAATGGGGATCATAGCGTATTCAAAGAAGGGGCAGCCGAAATACTCAATTCCTATGTGGAGCATCGCGAAGTAGTGGTGCCGAGCTTTGGTGAACCACACGAGAGTCTTGAACAGGCATTGGACACGGTTGTAGGCCACACGGCTAACTACAGCGGCGATGCAATTAGCGAGGATAGCGGCGTGGAGTCCACGCCAGCAGCGACAGCGTCTCCATCAAGCCAGCAAACAGAAACTGTTGCCGAAGCTGCAGCAACCCAGTTACGTAATATTACCGACGAGGAGAAACAGATGCTTCAACAGTCGACATCAGCGCAGAGCGTCTCTGAGCTTCCTAATCCATTTTTGGAAACCGTGCTGCAAGCACTCGATTGTACAGAGAATGATTACCTGGCTCTCTTGGCACTTTGCCTCATTTACGCCATGTCCCACAATCGAGGTGAGTTTGACTGTTCAAAGTCAGTAGATTTAAGCTAGGCTTCAGCTGCGCCGATTCTCAGTTAACGTTGCCTGTTTCACGTCTCTCTCTCCCTCTCTGCTCATTTCATTGATTTTTGTGTGGTATTAAAAAATGATATTTCAAAAAATAAAAATGCGTAAACAACATGGCATCTTTTACCAGATGGTACGTAACTTGTTCATTCCCTCATACTAATGTTTAAATTTTAGCTCGGGAGTTGCATCACATTTCGCTTATTTATAACTTTTTTACCTATTCACAGGCATGAAGAACGAGTGGTTCGAACAGGTGCTGTCGAAATCGATGCGAGGCTCGTTCAGCTATAAGACGGCGATAATTGAACATCTGCTTAATATCATCACACAATCCAGTCAACCATGTAAGTAAATCTTTTTGTGACATATTCGTTTATTATATTTATTTACACTCCTATAGCGTGTCGCATTCGACTGATCACGGCTGAGATTGCATTAGAACTGCTGCTGACCTTCACCAAGCCCGCCGCAGATGATGCACCTTGCATAACGAGCTCGCAGCAGAGTTTGCTTTTCAGTGCTCGTAATCAATCCATGGTTGTGCTGCGTAACTTTTACAAATCAGAAGATATATTCCTCGATCTATTCGAGAATGAGTACAATGAGATGCGTAAGGCGCAGCTGAATGTAGAATTTCTCTGCACGTACTCGACCATTCTGTTGCCACCCACGGGCACACCTCTAACGGGCATTGAATTTACCCACCGTCTGCCTTGCGGCGAGGTTGAAAAGGCTCGACGGGCCATACGCATCTACTTTCTGCTGCGCCGTACGTGCCAAAAGTTTTTAAATGAGAAGGAAACACTGCTGCCGCTGACGAATGTGGTGAACCTGGTGCAGGTGGACAATGTGCTCGATCTGAGTGAGTCTCTGATGATCAGCTTTGTTAGTCCATTGCTTAAACGTATTTACTGCTTGTAGATAATAGTGATTTAATTGCGTGCACTGTGGTCTCTAAGGATAATACGAAACAACGGCGTTTTCTGGTCATTGATGCACTGCAGCTCATACTCGTGGAGCCAGATGCCAAGTTGTTGGGATGGGGCGTGGCCAAGTTTGTGGGTTTCTTACAGGATGTGGAAGTGCAGGGCGACAAGGATGACTCACGTTGCCTGCACATCACGGTACATCGTGGCGGCGTCACACATAATCGTACGCCGCTTCTTTCAGCCAAATTTTTGTTCGATGATCATATACGTTGCATGGCGGCCAAGCAGCGTCTTACGAAAGGTCGCAGCAAGGCGCGTCAAAAGAAAATGTATCAGATTGCACAGCTAATCGAAATACCCGGCCAGCTGGACTCGCCACTGTATCCGGTGTGTGGCACCTCATCGCATTGTGGCAACTCGCGCCTGGCCCAAAAGGGCGCAAATTTAACTGCGAGTCGAGTGCCCGGCTTTGCAGCTGTGCTGCGTGGCAATAACAGTGCCGGCGTCAGTCGTACTCAGATGGCACAGAACCGCTCCATAGAGGGGTAAACACAACTGAAATGTTTCACATGTAAATGAATCTAATATATTTAAAATTTTAGCATACGTAATGAAAGCGGCAGTCGCTCACGTCGTCGAAGTCCCAATGCCGGCTCTAGCTCACCGTCCTCATTGCGGACAGCCAATGCTGTTCTGGATCGGGATCGTTCGCCCAGTGGCAGTGGAGGCAGTCACAGCTCCTCGCAGTCGAGAGAGAACTCACAGGCGCGTGGCTCCGGCAATCGGTCGCGTGAGAGTAGCCCACGCATGCCAAGACCACGGTAAGTGTAATAGCAGTGATTTATGCTTGACTTGGCTAACTTACATTTTGCTCGGCAGATCTGAGGAAATTCCTTTAGAAGATTTTCCACATTCACGTAATAATAGTCCGCATTCTCGAGGCGCTATGGGAAACCCATCTCCATCCTCTCGCTCACATACTCCATCGAGAGCGTTGCACTTCGATCAGATATCGGTGCACAGCGGCTCGCCACGAGAGTCGTCGTGTGTGCTGGGCACGAATGCGTTGCTGAGCCAATTGAATGGTAGTGTAGCCATTGCTAGAGAAGTGATCCCAGTTCAAAGTTCCGAGGAGACCTCTTTCATAGGCAATGATGTAGAGGCTGACAATAGACGCAAGGTCAGGGGCAACATTGAAACGGTTTAATAACAATTATTATAGCATTGCAATCTACTGTGCATATTGTGAAAGTTAAATTGTCGCTACAATTTTGTTATTCCAAATAATGTTAATTTAGTATTAATTTAGAAATAAACGTTGATTTGACGAATTTAAAATCTTGAACGGATTTTGAGCAACAGCTGTTTTATGTAAAGTTAACAGCTAGTAGTTACAGTCGATATCGATTATTTTTTATTGTCATCACTAAACAGCTGGCTGTTGTAATGTGGAACAGCCGGGTGACATAACCCCCAACATTTTGCTTAATAATATTAAAATCAAAGCGAATTCTAACTTAAAATGCCTAACTTTAAATATAGTGAGCTTATTAAACTTGGCACACAATATGCGCGTCGTATGAATTACCTGTCGAATCGCATCTTTGGCGAGGTGGCGCGCACAACAAATGACAAGTCAATGAAGGTCTTGCGTTAAAGCTTTGAAAGTTATTTATTTATGAAGTTTGATAACTAATGAATATTTATTACAGGTCGTTCGGATGTTTTCCGAGGAGCCCATACATAAACGAGACTATGTGGTTAACTGGTATCCACGACATGTGGAAACACATTTGCTAATGAAAAATCTGCGGGACTACGGACTGTTCCGCGATGAGCACCAGGACTTCAGGGAGGAAATGAAGCGTTTGCGAAAACTGCGCGGCAAAGCACCTCCTAAGAAGGGCGAGGGCAAACGATCAACTAAGAAATAGACAACAGATTCACTAAAAACAATTGTATTTTTTATTGGTATCGACTAAACAATCCCTTTGGGTGCCAACAATTTAGCATTGCCCGCAAAGACAACGTCATTGTGTTGTCTGCACTCGTACTCCACAGTCGCGATTTTGCGCGCTTTGATTAAACGCACAGTCACTAAGGTATCCGTTTCTATGCGACACGGTTTCAAGAATTTAAAGCTTTGTTCAAGCACCACTGTGCCTGGTCCTGGCAATTGTGTTCCTATAATGCCAGCAACAACTGCATTAAGCAGTGCGCCATGAACGCGTCGCTCTATGATGGGCGTGTCCTTACTATGTATATAATTAGTATCACCGGTGAATTGAGAAAATATTTCAAGATCCTTCTGTGTAAACCGTTTTATCACTTGAACCTGTTTTAGGTTGGCTTGTGGCTGGCTGCACAGTTGTCGACGTAGCTGCAGTAGCATTGTGGAGCTGGGTTATTTCGGTTCGAGAGCCAAAATCTTCCAGGAATACTATGCAAAGCTTAACAACGCGTTCGTCGTTAGATGATTGCCGCCAATGTAAAACTCGCTTTAGCAATGCTGGCGTTACGATTTCCTCTTTGCTGCTCAGTCCTGCGCTCAGCAGTTGATAATGCAGTGCCAGGCTATGCAGCACGGTATCAGCCTTCTCTGTGCTTAGGAAAATGTTTCTGAGTATGGCAATTTTTGCAACTATGAATTTGGCGGCGATCTCGTCTGCGAATTACGAAAGTATGTTGATAGAAATCTAGCGAATGCCTGAAAACAACGTTACCCAAGCAAAAATTACACAGTGCCGCTACTGCATGCAGCTGAAGATTAGGGTTCTGGGTGTCCAGAGCTGTCACAAAGACTTCCAAAGCTTCGGCTTCATGGAGATAGGGCCAGTTTATTGGATCGTATGCAAAATTTGCCAAGTTTGCGGTTACTTGCTCCAGGGCCTCTGGTGATTTATCGATAGTGTTAATAGTGCTGCTGAAGTTGGCGGGGCGAATGCTTACCAACGTTTGTTGATGTGTAATATTCATCCACCAGGTGACCAATATATTCACGTCGGTCTATGCCCTCTGCCGGTGTCTTGCGTTTTAAATAACGATGGCTCGAAAACATTGAGAGTTAAAAACTACCTGTATAATGCGACAGTTAAGTATAATCACCAACCATAGTGATTAATGGTATAATAATAACATACTGTTGCTATTTGCTTGTATACTCAACATTCTCAGAAAATCCGAACACATCAGCTGTTATTTATTCATTGAACGCGGAAAAATATGTACTAATATATATTAGATTTACCAATTACCCAAGACTTTGCTTACTTGTTTAACTTTAATTTTAAATGTACGTATAGTAACATTATATTTAAATAAAAAGCTAGGTTGTCAGAAACATTGCAATTTTAATTATCAATTTGTACATAACAGAATTACTCCACGCACTCAAGTTTTGCTCCTCATAAATTTATACATTCTGTCAATCTTAGAATCACTTTTGAAAAGTTTTTGTTTGTTATAGATAATTTTGAAAACAATAATGGATTGATTTACAATATGAAAATTTTGACCAGAGCGTATACAAATATCAAATAATTTGTTAGCTAAGCATCGGTGTGTATGTACATCATTCACCACTCCAAATGTATTAATCTTCGATTCGCTAGGTGCTATTGCTGCAGCCAGCATCTTGACTGGAAGTGTTTGAAAAATAGTGTAGAGCAGCTGCTACTGATTTCGGTGGTATATTAAACAGTGGATGGGTGGGTAAAAGTTCGTTCCTAAGATCACCAAGCACTTGAGGTTGCATCGCGGACTCCGAATGCTGGGCAATCGAGACTCCGCTCAGCGTATAACAGGTATGATATAGATCTTGCGGTCTAAAAGAAAAAATATGCTTGTGATATTTAAGTAATAAATGCTTGTTTTGAATGCTTAACGTACTTGCCGGGCTTATCGATTAGACCACCATTTGCTTTCTGGCAACACAGCAATATGTATTCTTGCAGTGCCTCGACATCGAAAAGCGTTTTCTCCATGGATTTTTCAGCACCAATTAATGTGGCCTGCGTTATTGGAATGGTAGCGCCTACCCAAAACGAGTAGCAACCGTCTACTAGCTTATTGGTGCGTCCCTGGAAGCCACCCTCATAGATCATTTGACGACGCAATGTCCACTGCAATAGCGCTTTCTTATTGCACTTATCTGCCTGATTGAGCAATGCGAGACTGGCGATGCCACAAAAAGTGTAGCCGCCATGTGCCTCCAGGTCGGGCGCTCCCCCAAAGCCACCTTCGTACGTCTGACAGCTAGCAATCCAGTCGGCGGTGCCCGTAAACAGTTCACTCAGCACTGACTCAGGCACATTGGTTAGCTTGGCACAGGAGATGGCACAGTAGGCACCACGCACGTCTGTCTCACCATCTACGTGGAGGCGGAAGGAACCATCGTCATCACGCACGCTGAATAGAAACTTAATAAGTGATTCTCGATCGATGGCTTGATATGCGCTCTGTGTGCCAATGATGCATAGGCTATTGACTGCAGCATAGGTGGGAGCCAGGTGTGCATATTGCCCTGGTCCGCCGCCAAAGCCGCCCGTAGGAGCACGACATCTGGAAGCATACAATTGAAAGCGTATTATTAATATCCATAATTAGGGAATTAACGTACTTTATAAGAAATTGCACGACGTTGTCCAGCGTCTGTTCGTCGAAGGCGAAATTCAGCAGTTGCGCCGACTGCAGTATCCAGTAGATGCACCAGGGCCGACTGCTGTCCAAGCATTCATAATTGGATGGCAGTTTTCTAAGCATCAAATCCAAATATTGTTGGTGCTGCATGCGATTTAGCTGTGTTGCGCGTGGATTTATGAACTGTGTCTGTACGAATCGATCGTAACATTTTTCAACCGAACTCTCTGTTTTAATCTACAAAAGCAAGAGTTTGCTTTATTATTTGTCGTTGACACAGATAATTTGGATTACTCACCTGCTCCCTGGAAGTTATTGTGGATATCTTCTCGTCGTCGTATTGATAGTTTTTAAGCTCTGCAAAGTTGCGGAAAAAGAGCTCGTCCGATGACCACATGGTGTTGATATCCGAATTGAAAATTAAATTAATATAAATACAAAATTGTGCTACTTGTATCAATTCGTTCAGAATGTGTTTGATCGAACAACCTACCAAAGTGAACTATGGCGGAACCACTGGTTCGTTTGCGAAAATAAACAACATCATATGTTTCTGCTATATAACAGATTATTTACGTGCATTAACTGTTAACAACAATTCTCTAAACAAAAACAAGCAATATATTCCATGCAAAGACCATATTTTAGTTCTGTACTTTAATTTTGTAACTATTTTATAAGCTGTTGAATAAAATTTATACCATTAAATTTTATAACAGAGGCTTAACAGAACTAATTAAATTTGTAATCGATCCGAATCAATTCACAATCAGAAGCGGTTACTTTTCGATATATGCAAGTAGAAGTAAATGGAATTTGAACTAAATTAATGTCTTAAATAGAATGAACATTACTAATTTATTATTTTTGGTTGAAAAAGTAAACTCTTCTTACACTTTATAATGGTAGTTTTTTAATTCATTCAGCTATATATTTTAATTTTTAAAATTTCAACTTGTTTTTAAAGTTGCAAATTTCCCTAAATTTGTTTAAATAAAGAGATTAATTCTTTCGTTGCATCCCGCGCTCATTGCGTCAACATTTATAATATTGGAGCACAGGTAAATAACGAGACAGAATGTGGGGGCTTATCTCCTGTGTGTTCGAAGGGAGAGTATCCTATACACCGTAAAATTTCTTCGTACTTAGGAGGAGTGAGCATCGTATCAACACGTAATTATTATTATTATATCTTATTATTTCTTTATAGATTCCGCAGAAATGCATGCGTAAAACATTTTCATGCATAGCATCAACATGCTCTTTGTCGGCATCTTAATGGGTATGGGGTACAGAAAAACAGAAACCAGACGACCTCGACAAAGTTGTCGCAAAATACATGCATATGGATACAAGTCATATACTCACGGTATAGGGAGAGGCAAAATTATGTTTTCCAATGACAGACAAAGAGTTTATGAATAAGAAGTGAAATTAAGAGAGTATAAACTTAACTGGTATCATATATTGCATCAACTATAGGGAGAGAAATTGAAGTCAATACAAAGGCAAGTGTGAGCTAAAAATCTTATAAATAAAATAAACAACAACAAAATCTTAGCATATAAGCCCGCTCATAAAAGTTTACTTCCAGCCGACAACGATTTCAGGCCAAGAAACAACAAGCCGAGCCACAGTTGCGACCACTTCCAATAAGCAAAAACGAAAGACTTCAATTCAGTTTGGCGAAGACAACGAAC